CCACACACTATTGTGTTACAGAAATGTACATAGATCGTTGGTTATAGGGATGGAGGCACGATAGCAGCATTGCGACTAGAATACTATTTTTGCATTGTCGGTAGAAATGGTGATGATTTAAATTGTTGATTTATGTTTTGGCCATGACAATGTTTTGACTTATCGTCAGATATTGGTTTATATCTTGGGTCCTGTCTTAACAATCACCAATTGCCTTTACTTGACCCAAATGCACAACCAACGATTGCAACTTTTTACATGGCAACTAATCAAGAGCTTTGTTTAGAAAATGTTTTTATGCAAAGCATTTGATCGTAACATGTCTAAGTCCAATTATGTGATTTATAAACGTTGGGCCTAAACCTATACAACTTTGGCTTGTCCATGCTATAGATATCATGTGTAATCACTGCATTTTATTTTGTTTTAGAGTTTAATTCAAAATTGTTCCTTATCATTGTCACAGGCAGGCTAAATACCTTTTTTGAATATCTGTTCATACCCGATCAGTGTTATTAGTACATTTGATGTATTAATGAAGTATATTTGAAGTACATTTGATGAGAACAGTCAGATTGATCTCTGGACATTAGCTGGCTCTAGGACTTTGCATACAGTGTGTATACCACATCACTGTAAAAACCTTTAGTGGAAAGTTGACAATATTTAATAATATGATATTTCTAACAAGCACAGATTTAGCTGTTCTCCTAATGAATGAATCATTTAAGAAAATGTGTTCTGTAAATAAAGACTCCCAGTCCATATGACTTGTCTTTTTAAAAATTGTGGATCAATCAAGGATTTTTAAAGTATTAAAGGTCAACTCCGTTATATGACATCATCATAGACAAAATATCTACATACAGAAAACAAAAATGTGTCAGGACCGCCATTTTTGTTGATTCTGTAAACAGGAAGTCACCCCACTGTGTATGGTGATGTCAAATTGCTTAGTCTACCTTTAAAAGTAATCTCAGTGACATTGTTGTGCACCGTTCTGTATAGTTGATATTCATTTAGGTCAAACTGTTCCTGGTTTTTAAATGTTGGTCCATGTAACCAAATATTTTGGTATCAATAAAGAAATTACAAATATTTCCTTTCATGCCTAATGTTCATCACCCCAAAAGATGAATGAGCCTATTTCACTATCACATAATTTCATAATGACAAAACATTTGTGTGCATTTTACAATCAAAGCAGCAAAAATATAACAAAACAGTTCAGTTCATTTCTGATAGTTTATGCAAAAAATATCCCATCGTTTACAATGATGTCATAGTGAAATAGGCTCATACAAAATACAATGGCTATCACCACCAACTGAGTGTTTTCCTTTCAGCTCTACTTTAAGACATTTATTTTAATATGATATGTCATTGTGTTACAATCGGAAGAGAAACTGTAAACAACAAAAGATAGTTCTACTTCTAAGACAATCTTACAACCAAGAGAACACTACAGGTGTCGTACGTAGATGACAAATCAGACTGGTATCTATACTGTGATTCTTTGGCTAAACATACTTTTTTTGTAGGTATTCCTAAGGCTTTGTACGGTGTTTTAAAGGCCGCCCCTTAGGGCCACCGTAGCTTTGTGATGAGTTACTCATCAATATGTTGTCAGTCATAAAGAAATCTTAACAGGTTTCATAATCATTACTAGAAAAACTCTCTCTCAGCTACCAGAGCTGAAGTTGGTATTATTCACATTGATTTGACAACAATGCACAGTAAAGCTGAGGCAGAATCAACTGTAGAGAGATGTAAGAGTTCTGCTATAATTTGGCTAAAAGCACTAAATATTGTACAACATTTGCTTTTTTTTTTTTTTTTTATCCTTGCCAGAAGGATTTTCATTTGTGTTGAAAAGTCTAAACAAATTGGTTAAAAACAATTACCTCAATATGAACCATATAAAATATATAGATATATGGACCATGGAAATACAAACAGTGTAATTGTTCTCTGTAGGTCACTGTTATGTAATTGCAGTGATTATATGTTGCAAAGTTCTATGGATGTCACCTCTTTACAATGCCTTATGCTAATAAAGTGATGATAAGTGCTTATAAACGTTGACTACACTCAAACACATTCATTTATCACCAGACAACAGAGGATCATCATGTCATATCCAAACCTGGGTTCTAATAGTATTCATTTTTCTTTGCAATACTTTAGCGCTGTTTATACCTGCTTCCAACATGCGTCCTTTGTCCTGATCTTCTCCATATTCTGATTGTGTCCACATTTTTAAACAGATGTAGACAATCAAAATACATTGTGATCAGATGTTCCTCCCCACCTCCGTAGGTAGTCAGGTCGTGTCTACACTTGACACTTACATGCGACTTCTGCTATCAGAATATGAAGATCGCATTGAAAAGATGTGTCTAGAAGCACAAATGTCGCTTTGTGGTATGTTTGTGTTCAGATTTGTCTGACCACTTCAGTAGGTGGTCAGGGATGCATTGTGTGCGGATTTCTCCTCAGTCTGGACACATCAGGCTGCCGAAAACACATACAGTGGGCGATGTCATCAGCACTCCTCCCACAAGTCTCCCGAAAACGTGTGTTTTGGGACCGAGAGGCACCTTTTCATTATAACGTTGGAGGAAATACGTTCCTAGCGTGTGAGATTATTTAAAAAAAATTGGCTAGAGTTATGCTAACCCGTTTGCAATTCCTTTTGCGTTGCTTGCTGGCTAGCTACAGAGGTTAGCTGGCTAGTTAGCTACATTAGTTAGCTACTGCCATCAGTTGTTGTTGTGTTATTATCATATTATCCCTATTCCACCGTTTGTAGAATGCATACTGGCATTTGAATATAGCGCGGGAAAAGGGAATCCGGACACGGTAGACAAATTTCAATGTAGGTGTAGACACATGACGCGTTCGGAATTCCATGATCAGAACTCTATGATCAGAATACTAAAGCTGCATGAACTGTCAAGTCTAGGCACGGCCTTAGGCACGCAGGTTGCATTTACACAGGTGGCCCAATTCTGATATTTTGCCCAATTATAGGCAAAATAGCTGATCTGATTGGTCGAAAGACCAATTATTTTTTTCCACTATCAGAATTGGGCTTCCTGTCTAAACGCAGCCTTACCAGTGTAGACGGATCTGGACAGTGAAATCATTTAAATCATCATTATCCCACCCTTTAAAACCACTCACAGGTGGCACCATTGACTTATGGCATCAATATGTGAATAAAAATGAATAAATAAACATTATTTTGAAAGAATATCTGTCAAATAATTTGCTTACAGGGAATGACCAGGAAATCTGGTCACAATACGGACACGGGAGGGATAAGATTTAATACCATGTGTAGACTGAAAATGTGGGCGCAATCTGAATGTGGACAAGATCAGGACACAGGACGCCTGTAAGTGCCAGGTATACAGTGAGGGAAAAAAGTATTTGATCCCCTGCTGATTTTGTAAGTTTGCCCACTGACAAAGAAATGATCAGTCTATAATTTTAATGGTAGGTTTATTTGAACAGTGAGAGACAGAATAACAACAAAAAAATCCAGAAAAACGCATGTCAAAAATGTTATAAATTGATTTGCATTTTAATGAGGGAAAAAAGTATTTGACCCCCTCTCAATCAGAAAGATTTCTGGCTCCCAGGTGTCTTTTATACAGGTAACGAGCTGAGATTAGGAGCACACTCTTAAAGGGAGTGCTCCTAATCTCAGCTTGTTACCTGTATAAAAGACACCTGTCCACAGAAGCAATCAATCAATCAGATTCCAAACTCTCCACCATGGCCAAGACCAAAGTGCTCTCCAAGGATGTCAGGGACAAGATTGTAGACCTACACAAGGCTGGAATGGGCTACAAGACCATCGCTAAGCAGCTTGGTGAGAAGGTGACAACAGTTGGTGCGATTATTCGCAAATGGAAGAAACACAAAAGACCTGTCAATCTCCCTCGGCCTGGGGCTCCATGCAAGATCTCACCTCGTGGAGTTGCAATGATCATGAGAACGGTGAGGAATCAGCCCAGAACTACACGGGAGGATGTTGTCAATGATCTCAAGGCAGCTGGGACCATAGTCACCAAGAAAACAATTGGTAACACACTACGCCGTGAAGGACTGAAATCCTACAGCGCCCGCAAGGTCCTCCTGCTCAAGAAGCACATATACAGGCCCGTCTGAAGTTTGCCAATGAACATCTGAATGATTCAGAGGAGAACTGGGTGAAAGTGTTGTGGTCAGATGAGACCAAAATCGAGCTCTTTGGCATTAACTCAACTCGCCGTGTTTGGAGGAGGAGGAATGCTGCCTATGACCCCAAGAACATCATCCCCACCGTCAAACATGGAGGTGGAAACATTATGCTTTGGGGGTGTTTTTCTGCTAAGGGGACAGGACAACTTCACCGCATCAAAGGGACGATGGACGGGGCCATGTACCGTCAAATCTTGGGTGAGAACCTCCTTCCCTCAGCCAGGGCATTGAAAATGGGTCGTGGATGGGTATTCCAGCATGACAATGACCCAAAACACACAGCCAAGGCAACAAAGGAGTGGCTCAAGAAGAAGCACATTAAGGTCCTGGAGTGGCCTAGCCAGTCTCCAGACCTTAATCCCATAGAAAATCTGTGGAGGGAGCTGAAGGTTCGAGTTGCCAAACTTCAGCCTCGAAACCTTAATGACTTGGAGAAGATCTGCAAAGAGGAGTGGGACAAAATCCCTCCTGAGATGTGTGCAAACCTGGTGGCCAACTACAAGAAACGTCTGACCTCTGTGATTGCCAACAAGGGTTTTGCCACCAAGTACTAAGTCATGTTTTGCAGAGGGGTCAAATACTTATTTCCCTCATTAAAATGCAAATCAATTCATAACATTTTTGACATGTGTTTTTCTGGATTTTTTGGTTGTTATTCTGTCTCTCACTGTTCAATTAAACCTACCATTAAAATTATAGACTGATCATGTCTTTGTCAGTGGGCAAACGTACAAAATCAGCAGGGGATCAAATACTTTTTTCCCTCACTGTAAATGAGGCTTGAGACTGTTTGATTGGAGTGCCAGATCCCAGATGGGCGGAGTGCACTTTTGGGACTACTTCATTGGTTCCCTTATGCCAGGAAAGGGCAATCAAGCACAGCTAAAGTATTTCAAAAGAAAACAAACACATACTAATTGAACCCCGGTCTGGTCATATTCACACATCTTATCCACCATACTCTCACACACTAACAAAATGGTCAAGCATTTGTGGTTCACGTAACTCAACACTGAACTTCTGAAATGGAATGGAACCTATGGACAATGGAGGGTAATACAAGTTGAGAATATCTACAGCAGATGGTCACTTTTCTTCTTCTATTAATGCAGTGAGTAAGTAATCAATCTCAATGGACCTGGTTCAATAGTGTAGTAATTTCTTCTCACCACCAGATGGTGTCTGTAGTATGAACGATGAGTTGGTTATGGTCCTTGAGGTTGTCTGGGCTGTTCTTCAGTCACATTTGATTTACGGATTAATTTCTATCCAATGAAATACCTTCTGCAAGAAACACATCAGCACCACTTACAGCTCAGATAGGCCTCACTCATATCATTGAACTATTTCGCATTCTCTTTGTGTCTCATTCTCTCACCAAAATCTACAGGGGGTTGCCAGGTTGGTCTCTGGGTTGCCAGGTTGGACTCACGGTTCCAGTAGGGTCCCGGATTTCCAGGTTGGGTCGATCCTGGTGAGTTGCCAGTTTGGGGTCCGGGAAGTTGCCAGGTTGAGGGGGAGAGTGAGGAGTGGTTTGTTTCAACTGAGCCTAACAGGGGAGGTTGGTTGGTTAATTGGTTATCAGTGCTCTGAGACGGTTGCCAAGTTGGACTCAGTGGCCAGCGGGCTTTGAGCGGGCTCTCCCAGGATGTTGGCACTGGAGACGGACCACACATCACTCATCTCTGTCAGGGGGGTGAGGTCAGAGGTTATCGGTCAGGGGTTAGTGGTTGACAAAGGTAATTATCATTAATATATACAGTGGGGAAAAAAAGTATTCAGTCAGCCACCAATTGTGCAAGTTCTCCCACTTAAAAAGATGAGAGAGGCCTGTAATTTTCATCATAGGTACACGTCAACTATGACAGACAAATTGAGGAAAAAAAAATCCTAAAATCACATTGTAGGATTTTTAATGAATTTATTTGCAAATTATGGTGGAAAATAAGTATTTGGTCACCTACAAACAAGCAAGATTTCTGGCTCTCACAGACCTGTAACTTCTTCTTTAAGAGGCTCCTCTGTCCTCCACTCGTTACCTGTATTAATGGCACCTGTTTGAACTTGTTATCAATATAAAAGACACCTGTCCACAACCTCAAACAGTCACACTCCAAACTCCACTATGGCCAAGACCAAAGAGCTGTCAAAGGACACCAGAAACACAATTGTAGACCTGCACCAGGCTGGGAAGACTGAATCTGCAATAGGTAAGCAGCTTGGTTTGAAGAAATCAACTGTGGGAGCAATTATTAGGAAATGGAAGACATACAAGACCACTGATAATCTCCCTCGATCTGGGGCTCCACGCAAGATCTCACCCCGTGGGGTCAAAATGATCACAAGAACGGTGAGCAAAAATCCCAGAACCACACGGGGGGACCTAGTGAATGACCTGCAGAGAGCTGGGACCAAAGTAACAAAGCCTACCATCAGTAACACACTACGCCGCCAGGGACTCAAATCCTGCAGTGCAAGACATGTCCCCCTGCTTAAGCCAGTACATGTCCAGGCCCGTCTGAAGTTTGCTAGAGTGCATTTGGATGATCCAGAAGAGGATTGGGAGAATGTGGTCAGATGAAACCAAAATATAACTTTTTGGTAAAAACTCAACTCGTCGTGTTTGGAGGACAAAGAATGCTGAGTTGCATCCAAAGAACACCATACCTACTGTGAAGCATGGGGGTGGAAACATCATGCTTTGGGGCTGTTTTTCTGCAAAGGGACCAGGAAGACTGATCCGTGTAAAGGAAAGAATGAATGGGGCCATGTATCGTGAGATTTTGAGTGAAAACCTCCTTCCATCAGCAAGGGCATTAAAGATTAAACGTGGCTGGGTCTTTCAGCATGACAATGATCCCAAACACACCGCCCGGGCAACGAAGGAGTGGCTTCGTAAGAAGCATTTCAAGGTCCTGGAGTGGCCTAGCCAGTCTCCAGATCTCAACCCCATAGAAAATCTTTGGAGGGAGTTGAAAGTCCGTGTTGCCCAGCGACAGCCCCAAAACATCACTGCTCTAGAGGAGATCTGCATGGAGGAATGGGCCAAAATACCAGCAACAGTGTGTGAAAACCTTGTGAAGACTTACAGAAAACGTTTGACCTGTGTCATTGCCAACAAAGGGTATATAACAAAGTATTGAGAAACTTTTGTTATTGACCAAATACTTATTTTCCACCATAATTTGCAAATAAATTCATTAAAATCCTACAATGTGATTTTCTGGATTTCTTTTCTCATTTTGTCTGTCATAGTTGACGTGTACCTATGATAAAAATTACAGGCCTCTCTCATCTTTTTAAGTTGGAGAACTTGCACAATTGGTGGCTGACTAAATACTTTTTTTCCCTACTGTATATATGTCATAATGACTCATCAAATGTAATACATTCTCTTTTTCATTTAAACCAATCTCTGTTTTAAGCCTATATAGGGTGTGGGTGTGCGTGCATGTATCATGTTATCAAAGCTGGCCATGGGGAAGAAACAGGGTAACTCCTACAGACAACTTCTAACTCACCTGTCCTGAACTTGCTGTAGGTTCCATGTTCTAGTGTGGGTTTGCTGCCCAAACAGAAAGCCAGGCTTTGTTCTCGCCACCTGTCATCGACACAGTAACAGTCATCGCTACAGGAAGTGACACCACAGGAAGTGACATCACCATTAAATACAAAACAGACCGACGTTCATCCGAAGCTTCAATTTGACTCACATAATCAAAGTTTTTTACGTAGACATATCAAAATGCACCTTACGACGACCCTCGCACTGCATTCTAGTGGGCTCACTCACCAGTGGAAGATGAAGATGATGAAGATGAGGGTGAAGGACACCACATCGGTAAGGACCCACATCAGATTGTACTCATCTGGAGTCTGATAGAGAAAGACAGACAACCATTGTGTCTAGGAGTATTACTTTCACCAATCCAATCAATTTCGGCGTCGCAATAATCGGTTATTTCTCCCAAAGTGTGCACTTGTTCACTTCCCTTCATGGATTTAAAAGAAAATGACTGGAAAAAGAAATGCCAGTATTGTGGAAACTCCCTGTAGCTCATGCAAACATCAAGCCAATGCTTTTACATTTGTGGAGAGTAGTGAACTAGTGCACACTTCCAGAGGAAGGAAAGATTATTGGGATGAAGTAGTATTGGTCCTAGGTTGTTGTTCTCACCATAAGGAAGAGGGGTCTGGTGAGGTTGTTCTCACCATAAGGAAGAGGGGTCTGGTGAGGTTGTTCTCACCATAAGGAAGAGGGGTCTGGTGAGGTTGATCTCACCATAAGGAAGAGGGGTCTGGTGAGGTTATTCTCACCATAAGGAAGAGGGGTCTGCTGAGATTGTTGAGGAGCTGTAGAGCATTGGTGGTGACAGACTGAGCCGCAGAGCACCAGGCAAGAGAGTAGAGCCACGACTGGCTGATAACATACAGATTGATGCTGATGTTGGCCGCCGCATACTCACTGAGGGAGGAATAAAACTCAGACAGACAGACACAGACAACCAGTTAATGAACACACACACAGCCAATTGACACACCTACAGCCAGTTAACACGCAAATACACACACACATTTAATGCAAAGACACACACTTACACACAACCACACACCTTATCATCTCTGTGGACATGGAGCTATAGTGCAGGTTGAGTTGGACGATGTGATTCTGCTGCAGCTCCTCAACTGGAGCCCGGGACCCCAAGGTATGCTGGAGGTCAGGGTCCATCTGCTGGACCAGGCTACGCAGGTCTGGGGGCAGCCACAACACCTGACACACACACACAATACACCCATTAACCCTAAACACTAACCTCAGCATTACAACCTTTTGTATGTACAGTATTACCAATGCAATCACAATATCCCATAAACAGCTTCATTCCCAAGTCCAAAAAATAAAAACTGAACCTATGACATATAGGATAGATAATCCCATAGAGATACAGTGGGGAGAACAAGTATTTGATGCACTGCCAATTTTGCAGATTTTCCTACTTACAAAGCATGTAGAGGTCTGTAATTTTTTATCATAGGTACACTTCAACTGTGAGAGACAGAATCTAAAACAAAAATCACATTGTATGATTTTTAAGTAATTAATTTGCATTTTATTGCATGACATAAGTATTTGATACATCAGAAAAGCAGAACTTAATATTTGGTACAGAAACCTTTGTTTGCAATTACAGAGATCATACGTTTCCTATAGGTCTTGACCAGGTTTGCACACACTGCAGCATGGATTTTGGCCCACTCCTCCATACAGGCCTTCTCCAGATCCTTCAGGTTTCGGGGCTGTCGCTGGGCAATACGGACTTTCAGCTCCCTCCAAAGATTTTCTATTGGGTTCAGGTCTGGAGACTGGCTAGGCCACTCCAGGACCTTGAGATGCTTCTTACGGAGCCACTCCTTAGTTGCCCTGGCTGTGTGTTTCGGGTCGTTGTCATGCTGGAAGACCCAGCCACCACCCATCTTCAATGCTCTTACTGAGGGAAGGAGGTTGTTGGCCAAGATCTCGCGATACATGGTCCCATCCATCCTCCCCTCAATACGGTGCAGTCGTCCTGTCCCCTTTGCAGAAAAGCATCCCCAAAGAATGATGTTTCCACCTCCATGCTTCACGGTTGGGATGGTGTTCTTGGGGTTGTACTCATCCTTCTTCTTCCTCCAAACACGGCGAGTGGAGTTTAGACCAAAAAGCTCTATTTTTGTCTCATCAGACCACATGACCTTCTCCCATTCCTCCTCTGGATCATCCGGATGGTCATTGGCAAACTTCAGACGGGCCTGGACATGCGCTGGCTTGAGCAGGGGGACCTTGCGTGCGCTGCAGGATTTTAATCCATGACGGTGTAGTGTGTTACTAATGGTTTTCTTTGAGACTGTGGTCCCAGCTCTCTTCAGGTCATTGACCAGGTCCTGCCGTGTAGTTCTGGGCTGATCCCTCACCTTCGTCATGATCATTGATGCCCCACGAGGTGAGATCTTGCATGGAGCCCCAGACCGAGGGTGGTTGACCGTCATCTTGAACTTCTTCCATTTTCTAATATTTGCGCCAACAGTTGTTGCCTTCTCACCAAGCTGCTTGCCTATTGTCCTGTAGCCCATCCCAGCCTTGTGCAGGTCTACAATTTTATCCCTGATGTCCTTACACAGCTCTCTGGTCTTGGCCATTGTGGAGAGGTTGGAGTCTGTTTGATTGAGTGTGTGGACAGGTGTCTTTTATACAGATAACGAGCTCAAACAGGTGCAGTTAATACAGGTAATGAGTGGAGAACAGGAGGGCTTCTTAAAGAAAAACTAACAGGTCTGCGAGAGCCGGAATTCTTACTTGTTGGTAGGTGATCAAATACTTATGTCATGCAATAAAATGCAAATTAATTACTTAAAAATCATACAATGTGATTTTCTGGATTTTAGATTCCATCTCTCACAGTTGAATTGTACCTATGATAAAAATTACAGACCTCTACATGCTTTGTAAGTAGGAAAACCTGCAAAATCAGCAGAGTATCAAATACTTGTTCTCCACACTGTATATACCGTTTTTGTTTTAACTCTATGGATAATCTGTACAAGCTCCGGGGGGGACGTTTCCCCTAGGTGCAGATCTAGGATCAGCTTCCCCTCCCCCAAGCCTAACCTTAACCATTAGTAGAGAAAATGCAAAACTGACCCAAGATCAGTGTCTAGGGGCAGCTTCACCCTACTCCTATTTATGAGGATGAAGATGAAGGACACCACGTCAGTGAGGACCCACATCAGGGCTGCAGGTAACCTAGCAGTTAAGAGCTTAATAGCATTGGGCCAGTAACCAAAAGGTTGCTGGTTCAAATCCCAGAGCTAACTAGGTGAAAAATCTGTTGATGTGCCCTTGAGCAAGACACTTAACCCTAATTGCTCCTCTAAATCGCTCTGGATAAGAGCGTCTGCTAAATAACTAAAATGTAAAACGTTATAACATCCCCCCCACAGCGCCCTCACCTGGTGTGAGTGGATGGAAGACTCGTTCTGGATGACCTCCAGGGTGCGTGTGATCCAGGTGTCCCTGTAGGGGTGTCCCTGAGGGGGCCGGTAGAGGTCAAAGATCACCTGTTTGCCCCTCTGGGAAGCCAGCTCCAGAAACTCCCTGAAGGTGCAAATGGACTGGTTCTGCGCCTGCGCCCGGTCCTTGTTGCCCAGAGACCAAGCCGTGCCAAAGGGGTCACGCTGCAGAACCACCAGGGGCAGAGAGACAGTCAGTATACGGAATGCTTTGGCATAATGACAAATCATATTGACAATGTAATATCACATTGTATTCAATAAAGCAGGTGGTTGTGCAATTGATAACCTCCCACCCCCCATCGATACAATAACTACCCCAACCATCATCTTATTATGTTGTCCTAGCTACTGCCATTGGACACAAACATGCCCTGGTTTCCCATCATACCATGTCCATGAAGCTAAATGATCATGATCTTTATTAAAAAAGCAGTTCAAGACTTGGCTTATTTTACGTGTCCCTTTAGCCCCCCCCCCCCCCCCCAACTCTTCCTGAGGCACTATAGTGCGGTGGCGGTTGGTGACTCACATGGAGGAACCAGGCCCCGGCGTTGAGGGTCTCCAGCTCCCCCCAGGTGAACATCGCCGCAGGGGCATCCGTCCGGTTGGGGAACACCTCTTGCACGTTGGTGGTCCTCCTCAGGGTGTGGTCGTGCATTAGGAAGGGCACCCCGTCATAGCTATTGCAACGAGAGAAGGCTATGGCAGTTACGGACTTGACGGTTACGGAGTTGACAGTTAAGGAGTTGACGGAAGTGCATTAAGATGACTCACAATAAAGAGAGCCAGGTACTTCATCATTTATTTATTTACTTAGCCCCCAAAGTTCTCTGAGCAATATATATACAGTGCCTTCGGAAAGTATTCAGACCCCTTGACTTTTTCCACAATTTGTTACGTTACAGCCCTTTTCTATGATTGATTAAATAAATAAAAATCCTCAGCAATCTACACACAATACCCCATAATGACAAAGCAAAAACTGTTTTTTCAGCATTTTTGCAAATGTTTTAAAAATAAAAATAAACTGAAATACCTTATTTACATAAGTATTCAGACCCTTTGCTATGAGACTCGAGATTGAGCTCAGGTGCATCCTGTTTCCATTGATCATCCTTGAGATGTTTCTACAACTTGATTGGAGTCCAGCTGTGGTAAATTCAATTCATTGGACATTATTTGGAAAGAAACACACCTGTCTATATAAAGGTCCCAAAGTTGGCAGTGCATGTCAGAACAAAAACCAGGCCATGGAGTCGAAGGAATTGTCCGTAGAGCTCTGAGACAGGATTGTGTCGAGGCACAGATCTGGGGAAGGGTACCCAAAAAATTCTGCATCATTGAAGGTCCCCAAGAACACAGTGGAACCACCAAGACTCTTCCTAGAGCTGGCCACCCGGCCAAACTGAGCAACTGGGGGAGAGGGGACTTGGTCAGGGAGGTGACCAAGAACCCGATGGTCACTTTGACAGATCTCTAGAGTTCCTCTGTGGAGATGGGAGAACCTTCCAGAAGGACAACGATCTCTGCAGCACTCCACCAATCAGGACTTTATGGTAGAGTGGCCAGACAGAAGCCACTCTTCAGTAAAAAGCACATGACAGCCCGTTTGGAGTTTGCCAAAAGGCACCTAAAGACTCGCAGACCATGAGAAACAAGATTATCTGGTCTGATGAAACCAAGATTGAACTCTTTGCCCTCAATGCCAAGCGTCACGTCTGGAGGAAACCTGGCACCATCCCTATGGTGAAGCATGGTGGTGGCAGCATCATGCTGTGGGGATGTATTTCAGCGGCAAAGATGAACGGAGCAAAGTACAGAGAGATCCTTGATGAAAACCTGCTCTAGAGAGCTCAGGACCTCAGACTGGGGCGAAGGTTCACCTTCCAACAGGACAACACTCTAAGCACAAAGCAAAGCAACGCAGGAGTGGCTTCGGGACAAGGCTCTGAATGTCCTTGAGTGGCCCAGCCAGAGCCTGGACTTGAACCCAATCGAACAGCTCTGGAGAGACCTGAAAATAGCTGTGCAGCAACGCTCCCCATCCAACCTGACAGAGCTTCAGAGGATCTACAGAGAGGAATGGAAGAAACTCCCCAAAGACAGGTGTGCTAAGCTTGTAGCGTCATACCCAAGAAGACTCGATGCTGTAATCGCTGCCAAAGGTGCTTCAACAAAGTACTGAGTAAAGGGTCTGAGAACTTATGTAAATGTGATATTTCAGTTCATTTTTTTATAAGTAATATTTTCAAAAAAAACTATTTTTGCTTTGTCATTATGGGGTATTGTGTGTAGATTGATGAGTGAAAAAAACGATGTAATCAATTTTAGAATAAGGCTGTAATGTAACAAAATGTGGAAAAAGTAAATGGGTCTGACTACTTTCCGAAGGCACTAGCTCATGACTACCTCATGAAGCTGATTGAGAGAATACCAAGAGTGTGCAAAGCTGTCATCAAGGCAAAGGGTGTCTACTTTGAAGAATCTAAAATCAAAAACGTATTTTGATTTGTTTAACACTTTTTGGGTTACTACATGATTCCATATGTGTTATTTCATAGTTTTGATGTCTTCACTATTATTCTACAATGTAGAAAATAGTACAAATAAAGAAAAACCCTTGAATGAGTAGGTGTCCAAACTTTTGACTGTATTTGTATGTATGTATGTACGTACGTACAGTGGGGAAAAAAAGTATTTAGTCAGCCACCAATTGTGCAAGTTCTCCCACTTAAAAAGATGAGAGGCCTGTAATTTTCATCATAGGTACACGTCAACTATGACAGACAAATTGAGAAGAAAAAAAATCCAGAAAATCACATTGTAGGATTTTTTATTTATTTATTTGCAAATTATGGTGGAAAATAAGTATTTGGTCACCTACAAACAAGCAAGATTTCTGGCTCTCATAGACCTGTAACTTCTTCTTTAAGAGGCTCCTCTGTCCTCCACTCGTTACCTGTATTAATGGCACCTGTTTGAACTTGTTATCAGTATAAAAGACACCTGTCCACAACCTCAAACAGTCACACTCCAAACTCCACTATGGCCAAGACCAAAGAGCTGTCAAAGGACACCAGAAACAAAATTGTAGACCTGCACCAGGCTGGGAAGACTGAATCTGCAATAGATAAGCAGCTTGGTTTGAAGAAATCAACTGTGGGAGCAATTATTAGGAAATGGAAGACATACAAGACCACTGATAATCTCCCTCGATCTGGGGCTCCACGCAAGATCTCACCCCGTGGGGTCAAAATGATCACAAGAATGGTGAGCAAAAATCCCAGAACCACACGGGGGGACCTAGTGAATGACCTGCAGAGAGCTGAGACCAAAGTAACAAAGCCTACCATCAGTAACACACTACGCCGCCAGGGACTCAAATCCTGCAGTACCAGACGTGTCCTCCTGCTTAAGCCAGTACATGTCCAGGCCTATCTGAAATTTGCTAGAGTGCATTTGGATGATCCAGAAGAGGATTGGGAGAATGTCATATGGTCAGATGAAACCAAAATATAACTTTTTGGTAAAAACTCAACTCGTCGTGTTTGGAGGACAAAGAATGCTGAGTTGCATCCAAAGAACACCATACCTACTGTGAAGCATGGAGGTGGAAACATCATGCTTTGGAGCTGTTTTTCTGTAAAGGGACCAGGACGACTGATCCGTGTAAAGTAAAGAATGAATGGGGCCATGTATCGTGAGATTTTGAGTGAAAACCTCCTTCCATCAGCAAGGGCATTGAAGATCAAACGTGGCTGGGTCTTTCAGCATGACAATGATCCCAAACACACCGCCCGGGCAACGAAGGAGTGGCTTCGTAAGAAGCATTTCAAAGTCCTGGAGTGGCCTAGCCAGTCTCCAGATCTCAACCCCATAGAAAATCTTTGGAGGGAGTTGAAAGTCCGTGTTGCCCAGCGACAGCCCCAAAACATCACTGCTCTAGAGGAGATCTGCATGGAGGAATGGGCCAAAATACCAGCAACAGTGTGTGAAAACCTTGTGAAGACTTACAGAAAACGTTTGACCTGTGTCATTGCCAACAAAGGGTATATAACAAAGTATTGAGAAACTTTTGTTATTGACCAAATACTTATTTTCCACCATAATTTGCAAATAAATTCATTAAAAATCCTACAATGTGATTTTCTGGATTTTTTTCTCTCATTTTGTCTGTCATAGTTGACGTGTACCTATGATGAAAATTACAGGCCTCTATCATCTTTTTAAGTGGGAGAACTTGCACAATTGGTGGCTGACTAAATACTTTTTTCCCCCATAATATATATATATATATATATATATATATACTACCAAAAGTTTGGGGTCACTTAGAAATGTCCTTGTTTTCGAAAGAAAAGCAATTTTTTTGTCCATTAAAATAACAGCAAATTGATCAGAAATACAGTGTAGACATTGTTAATGTTGTAAATGGCTATTGTAGCTGGAAACGGCTGATTTTCAATGGAATATCTACGTAGGCGTACAGAGGCCCATTATCAGCAACCATCAGTCCTGTGTTCCAATGGCACGTTGTGTTTGCTAATCCAAGTTTATCATTTTAAAAGGCTAATTGATCATTAGAAAACCCTTTTGCAATTATGTTAGCACAGCTTAAAACTGGCCTTCTTGAGACTAGTTGAGTATCTGGAGCATCAGCAATTGTAGGTTTGATTACAGGCTCAAAATGGCCAGAAACAAAAAACTTTCTTCTGAAACTCGTCAGTCTATTCTTGTTCTGAGAAATGAAGGCTATTCCATGCGAGAAATTGCCAAGAAACTGAAGATCTCGTACAACGCTGTGTACTACTCCCTTCACAGAACAGCGCAAACTGGCTCTAACCAGAAGGGAGTAGTACACAGCGCTGTACGAGATCTTCAGTTTCTTGGCAATTTCTCGCATGGATTAGCCTTCATTTCTCAGAACAAGAATAGACTGACGAGTTTCAGAAGAAAGTGTTTTGTTTATGGCCATTTTGAGCCTGTAATCAAACCCACAATTGCTGATGCTCCAGATACTCAACTAGACTCAAGAAGGCCAGTTTTATTGCTTCTTTAATCACCACAACAGTTTTCAGCTGTGCTAACATATTTGCAAAAGGGTTTTCTAATGATCAATTAGCCTTTTAAAATGATAAACTTGGATTAGCAAACACAACGTGCCATTGGAACACAGGACTGATGGTTGCTGATAATGGGCCTCTGTATGCCTATGTAGATATTCCATTTAAAAAATCAGCGGTTTCCAGCTACAATAGCCATTTACAACATTAACAATGTCTACACTGTATTTCTGATCAATTTGATGTTATTTTAATGGACAAAAAAATTGCTTTTCTTTTGAAAACAAGGACATTTCTAAGTGACCCCAAACTTTGAACGGTAGTGTATATAGGCAACTTCTTTTTTGGACGTAAAAGACTGTAAATACACCAGCAAATCAGCTCCAAGTGATTTTAATTAAAGAAATCTGCTCCAAAGTATTCCCATGCATAATAGAGAGATATGTGACCATATACAAATGCAAGCAAGGTTTGAAATGGTTATGTTTTAGTCAAATATTATATCTGTTTGGGCTTCTTGTGGTCAATTTGTAGTCTACAAATTATTTGTAATTACAGCTCCTTTAGAAAGTATTCACACAAGGTGGGATTCAAATGTATTTAAATTGTCATTTTTTGTCAACGATCTACACAAAATACTCTGTAATGTCAAAGTAGAAGAAACAGTAACATTTGTAAAAATAAATATAAAAATAAAACAATAATATATATTGATTACGTAAGTATTCAACCCCCTTGATCATTGCAAGACAGACATTTTTAGGTCTTGCCATAGATTTTCAAACCGATTTAAGTCAAAACTGTCATCATGGTAAACAACTCCAGTGTATATTTGGCCTTGTGTTTTAGGTTATTGTCCTGCTGAAAGGTGAATTTGTCTCCCAGTGTCTGTTGGAAAGCAGACTGAACCAGGTTTTCCTCTAGGACTTTGCCTGTGCTCTATTCCTTTTCTTTTCATCCAAAAAGACTCCCTACTCCTTGCCGATGACAAGCATACTCAAAACATGATGCAGCCACCACCATGCTTGAAAATATGAAGAGTGATACTCAGTAATGTTTTGTGTTGGATTTGCCCCAAACATAATGCTTTGTATTCAGGACATAGTTTATTTCTTTACCACATTATTTTCAGTATTACTTTAGTGCCTTATTGCAAACAGGATGCATATTTTGGAATACTTTTATTCTGTACAGGCGTTCTGCTTTTCACTCTGTCATTTAGGTTAGTATTGTGGAGTAACTACAATGTTGTTGATCCATCCTCAGTTTTCTCCTATTACAGCCATTAAACTATGTAACTGTTTTAAAGTCACAATTTGCCTCATTGTGATTCAAAAATCACGTTAAACACTATTGTTGCACACAAAGTGAGTCGATTCAATTTATTATGTGACTTGTTAAGCAAATGTTTTACTCCTGAACTTATATAAGCTTACCGTAACAAAAGGGTTGAATACTTATCGACTCGAGGCATTTATGCTTTTCATTTTTAACTAACATAGTTCCACTTTGACATTATGGGCTAGTGTGTAGGCTAGTGACACAAAATCTCAATTTAATCCATTTTAAATTCAGGCTGTCATACAACCAAATGTGAAAAAAGTCAAAAGGGTGTGAATACTTTCTGAAGGCACTGTATGTTCCAGCCCCTGGCCATCCGCTCAAGAAAAAGGCGATTATCCCCAAACTAGATGGACACGGAGCATTCAGGTGTGAGGAGGGTGTACAACCACCACTGACCTGATGGTGACGTCAGTCTCTAGACCTTGCCCTCCAGCCTCCACCGCCTTCTCAAAGGACATGAGAGTGTTCTCTGGCGCAAGCTGGGGTATAACACACATACAAATGATTTGAACATACAGTTACCCTAAACAGAGGTACTACTGGTACAGATTATAAATACAAACATCAGTTCAGCAAACTAGCGCATCTCACGATAGCTAATAACACAGCCCAAAACGTTTTACTAATACTGGCAACGGTAATAAATTATCAAACTACCACACTTCTTCTACTACTACTACAATGTCACATGTTGTTTACAGGGTTAGCCTTAGTAGTACGGCCTTGCTCAAGTGCAAATCGTCACATTTTTCACCTTGTCGGTTTGGGTATTCAAACCAGCGACCTTTCGGTTACTGGACCAACACTCTAACCACTAGGCTACCTGCAGTCAGTATTGAAAAGAGTTGAGAGAGAATGGGTTAGTGTTGATGAGAATGGGTTTGTAGCTAAGGATAAGAATGGGTTGGCATTAATGGCGTTGCTGATGAGGCCTACCCACCATGGGTGCCCCTCTGTGCCCGATGAGGGCTGGTGCGGGGCCCAGAGTGCCCTCTTCTTTAAGGCAGGGCGAGTATATGCCCAGGGGAACCAGGTAGAGGGCACACAGCACCGCCAGGTACAGCCCCATGATGAGCGCCCGCCCAACTGGAACACACAGACACACAGTTTACTAAGGGATACAGTTATTTATTTGTGGTTGATATATGGAATCTGCTGGGAATTTCCTCAAGACTAAAGAAATTACACCAGAATATAAATGTTAAGTAAAACAAATAATTCTAATTAAACAGAAAAAAACATGAATATCTACAGATGTATTCTTGACTATATGCAGAGACGTCACTATTGAGATAGAAAACCTCCCTGAAGTTTCACACATTTTTTATTTTTTTATTTTACCTTTATTTAACTTGGCAAGTCAGTTAAGAACAAATTCTTATTTACAATGACGGCCTACACCGGCCAAACCCGGACGACGCTGGGCCAATTGTGCGCCGCCCTATGTTCATTGTTCAGATATGTTCATTGTTGAAATAGAAAACCTCTGTGAAGTTTCCTTCCTTGCCCTAGTTTTGACGTCAGTATTTGCCTTATTCTACTCTGTAATTAGCATATTATATATAGAGCTGCTCAAACAAGCCCCACCTACTCAATCACGTCTCACCTTTCCTATTGATGTGGAAAAAATGCAAGGCTATTGGCCAGGACAGGAGTGTCATCAGCAAGACTCCTCCCACGTGTAAATATGGCGCTGTCACCTATTAAAAACAAATTGCAGGAGGTGAGGTAATGACAGAGAATAAAGAGAGAGGGATGACTTTATAGAAGAAAGAAGGAAAGAAGGGAAGCCCCACCTGGAAAGAGAGGAGAAGAGTGGTCCACTCTTTGCTCCATAGGTCAGACAGCACTGCTGTGGCCAGAATGGAGAAGGCTAGACTCACCAGGACCCCAATCTGGCAACACATCCGGAGAAGCAGTACAGTTAGGACAACAGACAACCATTGGCACCTTACCCATTTCACACTAATGAGCACTTAATGTTGCACTGAGCACAATTAATTTTCACTTAATTTTTTCAGGATCTATCCATAAATCTGCAGCATTCAGCATTTCTTCAGTCTTTTCTTCTACCAGGCAATCAGCAATTTCGTCTTGCTAAAGTTATTAATTTAATCTAGACATGGAAAAATGGATGGGATGATTATAACGCATATAAGAGCAAAGAGGATGTCTAGGAGAGACAGGGAGGCGGATAGGACACACGAGGAGATAGAGAAGTAGGCAGAGGAAGTTGAAATTGGACAGGGGAAGACGTACGGACGTTACCTTGTGGCCCCAGTGTAGGTACAGCTTCTGTCCCTCTGACAGCAGACACACAGCCAACAGCTACAAATTAAAACACACACACACACACCTCATATCAGACAGATCATCAGAGAGCTAAGTACAGTATAGTACAGTATATCCCTGGTACAGTATAGTATAGCCCTGGTACAGTATAGTACAGCACTGGTACAGTATATCCCTGGTACAGTCTAGTACAGTATAGCGCTGGTACAGTCTAGTACAGTATAGCCCTGGTACAGTCTAGTACAGTATAGCTCTGGTTCAGTCTAGTACAGTATAGCTCTGGTTCAGTATAGTACAGTATAGCTCTGGTTCAGTATAGTACAGTATAGCTCTGGTTCAGTACAGTATACAGTGGGGAAAAAAAGTATTTAGTCAGCCACCAATTGTGCAAGTTCTCCCACTTAAAAAGATGAGAGAGGCCTGTAATTTTCATCATAGGTTCACGTCAACTATGACAGACAAAATGAGAAAAGAAAATCCAGAAAATCACATTGTAGGATTTTTAATGAATTTATTTGCAAATTATGGTGGAAAATAAGTATTTGGTCAATAACAAAAGTTTCTCAATACTTTGTTATATACCCTTTGTTGGCAATGACACAGGTCAAACATTTTCTGTAAGTCTTCACAAGGTCTTCACACACCGTTGCTGGTATTTTGGCCCATTCCTCCATGCAGATCTCCTCTAGAGCAGTGATGTTTTGGGGCTGTCGCTGGGCAACACAGACTTTCAACTCCCTCCAAATATTTTCTATGGGGTTGAGATCTGGAGACTGGCTAGGCCACTCCAGGACCTTGAAATGCTTCTTACGAAGCCACTCCTTCGTTGCCCGGGCGGTGTGTTTGGGATCATTGTCATGCTGAAAGACCCAGCCACGTTTCATCTTCAATGCCCTTGCTGATGGAAGGAGGTTTTCACTCAAAATCTCACGATACATGGCCCCATTCATTCTTTCCTTTACACGGATCAGTCGTCCTGGTCCCTTTGCAGAAAAACAGCCCCAAAGCATGATGTTTCCACCCCCATGCTTCACAGTAGGTATGGTGTTCTTTGGATGCAACTCAGCATTCTTTGTCCTCCAAACACGACGAGTTGAGTTTTTACCAAAAAGTTCTATTTTGGTTTCATCTGACATTCTCCCAATCCTCTTCTGGATCATCCAAATGCACTCTAGCAAACTTCAGACGGGCCTGGACATGTACTGGCTTAAGCAGGGGGACACGTCTGGCACTGCAGGATTTGAGTCCCTGGCGGCGTAGTGTGTTACTGATGGTAGGCTTTGTTACTTTGGTCCCGTCTCTCTGCAGGTCATTCACTAGGTCCCCCCGTGTGGTTCTGGGATTTTTGCTCACCGTTCTTGTGATCATTTTGACCCCACGGGGTGAGATCTTGCGTGGAGCCCCAGATCGAGGGAGATTATCAGTGGTCTTGTATGTCTTCCATTTCCTAATAATTGCTCCCACAGTTGATTTCTTCAAACCAAGCTGCTTACCTATTGCAGATTCAGTCTTCCCAGCCTGGTGCAGGTCTACAATTTTGTTTCTGGTGTCCTTTGACAGCTCTTTGGTCTTGGCCATAGTGGAGTTTGGAGTGTGACTGTTTGAGGTTGTGGACAGGTGTCTTTTATACTGATAACAAGTTCAAACAGGTGCCATTAATACAGGTAACGAGTGGAGGACAGAGGAGCCTCTTAAAGAAGAAGTTACAGGTCTGTGAGAGCCAGAAATCTTGCTTGTTTGTAGGTGACCAAATACTTATTTTCCACCATAATTTGCAAATAAATTCATAAAAAATCCTACAATGTGATTTTCTGGATTTTTTTTCCTCAATTTGTCTGTCATAGTTGACGTGTACCTATGATGAAAATTACAGGCCTCTCTCATCTTTTTAAGTGGGAGAACTTGCACAATTGGTGGCTGACTAAATACTTTTTTCCCCCACTGTATCCCTGAGGGGATCCCCAGATTGATCTGTGACTGATTTCTGCATACCCTCCAACCCCCCTAGTGGAGCCCCACAAACAAACAAACAAACACACACACATACACACACACACACACACACACACACACACACACCCCTCACCAGCAGCAGAGTGATGTAGCTGAAGAAGGCAGCAGCAATGGCCAGCAACACCACAGACCAGGGGAACCAGAAACCCAGGTTCCCAAAGTTAAACCTGGAGAAAGAGAGAGAAAAGCGGAAGAGAGAGAGAGAGGATGGCGATGAGAGTTGAGAGAGAGGGTGTGTGTGCGTGGTACTCAGTGCTCTATTGTCCCTCTAAACACTCTGACATCAATGCAAATGTAATCGAAAATCATATTAAAACACTTATCAACAGTATCATGCTTTTAAAATTCACTGTTAGGCTACATTTTTTGACCTCACTGTGATTATCAATTTGAAGAAAGAAGTTCAACAACAGGTTGAAACTGAGTGGAAAACATGGTCACTGTGGATGTTGTTTCAAAGCCTAACAACGAAATGGACAGCGCTTCCTAAGGTGATGATTAATTCAAAGCATTTAAGACGTTGCATGTAGATCACTCATACACATTTTAGAGCTTATGCATACGCCTATACAGTGCCTTCAGAAAGTATTCATACCCCTTGACTTATTCCACATTTTGTTGTGTTACAGCCTGAATTCAAAATGGATTAAACATTTTAAAAAATCTACACACATCTACACACACACACACACACAATACCCCATAATGTCAAAGTGAAAACATGTTTTTAGACATTTTTGCACATTTAATGAAAATGAAATACAGAAATATATAATTTACGTAAGTATTCACACCCCTGAGTCAATACTTTGTAGAAGCACCTTTGGCAGCGATTACAGCTGTGAGTCTTTCTGGGTAAGTCTCTAAGAGCTTTCCACACCTGGATTGTGCAACATTTGCCCATTATTTTAAAAAGTCTTCAAGCTCTGTCAAATTGGTTGTTGGTCATTGCTAGACAATCATTTTCAGGTCTTGCCATAGATTTTCAAGTAGATTTAAGTCAAAACTGTAACTTGGTCACTCAGGAACTTTCACTGTCTTCTTGGTAAGCAACTCCAGTGTTGATTTGGCCTTGTATTTTAGGTTAATGTCCTGCTGAAAGGTGAATTAATCTCCCAGTGTCTGGTGGAAAGCAGACTGAACCAGATTTTCCCCTAGGATTTTGCCTTCCATTTATTTTTATCCTAAAAAAAAACTCCCTAGTCCTTAACGATTACAAGCATACACATAACATGATGCAGCCACCACTACGCTTGAAAATATAGAGGGTGGTACTCAGTAATGTGTTGTATTGGATTTGCCCCAAACATACCTATTGCAGATTCAGTCTTCTCAGCCTGGTGCAGGTCTACAATTTTGTTTCTGGTGTCCTTTGACAGCTCTTTGGTCTTGGCCATAGTTGAGTTTGGAGTGTGACTGTTTGAGGTTGTGGACAGGTGTCTTTTATACTGATAACAAGTTCAAACAGGTGCCATTAATACAGGTAACGAGTGGAGGACAGAGGAGCCTCTTAAAGAAGAAGTTACAGGTCTGTGAGAGCCAGAAATCTTGCTTGTTTGTAGGTGACCAAATACTTATTTTCCACCATAATTTGCAAATAAATTCATTAAAAATCCTACAATGTGATTTTCTGGATTTTATTTTCTCAATTTGTCTGTCATAGTTGACGTGTACCTATGATGAAAATTACAGGCCTCTCTCATCTTTTTAAGTGGGAGAACTTGCACAATTGGTGGCTGACTAAATACTTTTTTCCCCCACTGTAGATTTAAGATGTCTTTGGTATATAATTGGTGTAGCCTATACTCCAAAACTAAACAAATTCTAGTAATTGCCTTTGAGTGTGGACTGCATTATTATGCATACTGGATGGACTTGTTAACTTGTGCTATGCTCCAAACTTTTTATCCATGAGTCTGGGAGAGAACATATAGGCCTAGGCAATGCTGTTGGTTCATTGATTGTGCAGTGCAGCTTCCAGAGTTAGCCTACAATTATAGTGAATTTGTATTTGATTTTGAATAGCCTAGTAATAGGGAATTTTTTATATTTTCATAATTAATATGCTGACATTACCTTTAGCTACAGAATATCTCCTCCTCTCTCTCCTTATTTATTTCTGAAGCGTGCAGAGATGGGGGCTGTCAACAGTTTAATTAAATATGTTTCGTTGTGAAAACATGTTAATATCGATGTTCCTGAACATATTTCACTTGGTTTTCTCCCAAATTAAGCACTGGGTAGCTGTAGGAACATGGTTGGAGAGCCCATGGCATACAGAGTTTGGGTGGAATATCAACTGTCGCACAGCGAGAGCCTGCATGCTCCTCAAACAGTGGTTGATGTGTGAAAAGAAAGAAGTGTTCTAATAAGCCCAGACATTTCCACAATCCTTCCGTAGCCTCCAACTGCTCTTAAACGCTAGTAAAACTAAATGCATGCTCTTCAATCGAACGCTGCTTGCACCCGCCCGCCCGACTAGAATCACTACTCTTGGCAGGTCTGACTTAGAATATGTGGACAACTACAAATACCTAAGTGTCTGGTTAGACCGTAAACTCTCCTTCCAGACTCACATTAAGCATCTCCAATCCAAAGTGAAATCTAGAATCGGCTTCCTATTTCGCAACAAAACCTCCTTCACTCATGCTGCCAAACATGCCCTCGTAAAACTGACTATCCTACCGATCCTTGACTTCGGCGATGTCATTTACAAAATAGCCTCCAACACTCTACTCAGCAAATTGGATATAGTCTATCACCAAAGACCCATATACTACCCACCATTGTGACCTGTACGCTCTCGTTGGCTGGCCCTCACTACATATTCGTCGCCAAACCCACTGGCTCCAGGCCATCTATAAATCTCTGCTAGGCAAATCCCCGCCTTATCTTAGCTCATTGGTCACCATAGCAACACCCACCCGTAGTATGCGCTCCAGCAGGTATATCTCACTGGTCATCCCCAAAGCCAACACCTCCTTTGGCCGCCATTCCTTCCAGTTCTCTGCTGCTAATGACTGGAACGAACTGCAAAAATCTCTGAAGCTGGAGACTCTTATCTCCCTCACTAACTTTAAGCATCAGTTGTCAGAGCAACTTACCGATCACTGCACCTGTACACAGCCCATCTGTAATTGAGCCCACCCAATTACCTCATCCTCCCCATATTGTTATTTATTTTGCTAATTTGCACCCCAGTATCTCTATCACTCCAGTGTTAATACTACATTGTAATTATTTTGCACTATGGCCTATTTATTGCCTTACCTCCATAACTTACTACATTTGCACACACTGTATATAGATTTTATATTGTGTTATTGACTGTATGTTTTGTTTATCCCATGTGTAACTCTGTGTTGTTTTTATCACACTGCTTTTGCTTTATCTTGGCCAGGTCGCAGTTGTAAATGAGAACTTGTTCTCAAACATATTTTAAAAAATCATTGAATATAAAATAGTGTCACGGGACTTATAAGCATATCTTGTCAGCTAAATGAACTAGCCTACAGCCTATGGCACGGCGCATAGCCAGATAACATACAGTAGGCCGACTCATTCGCTTCTTCTGAAATACATTTTCTTCATATCATATTTCTTTATTCCTGTCTAAAATAAATAATGGATTTATTGTGATCATGTATATTAAATTGATTTATTATACTTTTTTTAAATATAGATGTCCCTAAGGCGTGCATCAGAGGCTTGTTTGCGTGGAGGCCTGGAGATACTAAACATGTTTATATTAAATAAAGGACAATTACCGTGAGACCGGCACTCATTTGCATAACAATAACCGGCTGACAAAATTTCATGACTGCCACAGCCCTAGTGTAGACGCATGTCTGAAAATGTGAGCACAATTTGAATGTGGACAAGATCAGGACACACACCAGGTATAAACAAGGCTAGTGAGAGAGAAGGAGTTCCAGAGTGAGCACCAGAGAGACAATAGGTGTGGCTATTCAGTAGGAGGTAATGTTGTTAATGTGATGCAGGAGATTCTCCTGACAGGAACACACCTGAATCTCAATGAGATACTCCTGCTGCTACCTGCCACAGAGCTGTGGTCTGGCCTTGCACGTGTGTGAGTCCTTATATATTTGCATGCTTGTTCATACTTAGATGTGTGTTTACATTACATTGTGGATACAGTGAGGGAAAAAAGTATTTGATCCCCTGTTGATTTTGTACGTTTGCCCACTGACAAATACAGGATCAGTCTATAATTTTAATGGTAGGTTTATTTGAACAGTCAGAGACAGAATAACAACAACAAAATCCAGAAAAACGCATGTCAAAAATGTTATCAATTGATTTGCATTTTAATGAGGGAAATAAGTATTTGACCCCTCTGCAAAACATGATTTAGTACTTGGTGGCAAAACCCTTGTTGGCAATCACAGAGGTCAGACGTTTCTTGTAGTTGGCCACCAGGTTTGCATCCATCTCAGGAGGGATTTTGTCCCACTCCTCTTTGCAGATCTTCTCCAAGTCATTAAGGTTTCGAGGCTGAAGTTTGGGAACTCGAACCTTCAGCTCCCTCCACAGATTTTCTATGTGATTAAGGTCTGGAGACTGGCTAGGCCACTCCAGGACCTTAATGTGCTTCTTCTTGAGCCACTCCTTTGTTGCCTTGGCCGTGTGTTTTGGGTCATTGTCATGCTGGAATACCCATCCACGACCCATTTTCAATGCCCTGGCTGAGGGAAGGAGGTTCTCACCCAAGATTTGACGGTACATGGCCCCGTCCATCGTCCCTTTGATGCGGTGAAGTTGTCCTGTCCCCTTAGCAGAAAAACACCTCCAAAGCATAATGTTTCCACCTCCATGTTTGACGGTGGGGATGATGTTCTTGGGGTCATAGGCAGCATTCCTCCTCCTCCAAAAACGGCGAGTTGAGTTGATGCCAAAGAGCTCGATTTTGGTCTCATCTGACCACAACACTTTCACCCAGTTCTCCTCTGAATCATTCAGATGTTCATTGGAAACTTCAGATTGGCCTGTATATGTGCTTTCTTGAGCAGGGGGACCTTGCGGGCGCTGCAGGATTTCAGTCCTTCACGGCGTAGTGTGTTACCAATTGTTTTCTTGGTGACTATGGTCTCAGCTGCCTTGAGATCATTGACAAGATCCTCCCGTGTAGTTCTGGGCTGATTCCTCACCGTTCTCATGATCATTGCAACTCCACGAGGTGAGATTTTGCATGGAGCCCAAGGCCGAGGGAGATTGACAGTGTTTTGTGTTTCTTCCATTTGCGAATAATCGCACCAACTGTTGTCACCTTCTCACCAAGCTGCTTGGCGATGGTCTTGTAGCCCATTCCAGCCTTGTGTAGGTCTACAATCTTGTCCCTGACATCCTTGGAGAGCTCTTTGGTCTTGGCCATGGTGGAGAGTTTGGAATCTGATTGATTGATTGCTTCTGTGGACAGGTGTCTTTTATACAGGTAACAAACTGAGATTAGGAGCACTCCCTTTAAGAGTGTGTCGTGGGTAGTTGTTGTATGTAGTTATTGTAGGTTAGGATTGTATTCGGCGGTGCCGGGTGTAGCACGAAGCTAGCTAGCTAACTCACCTCCTGGACTAGCTGGCGAGTAGCTATTAGCAACGGTAGCAACTAAATACAATATCCTTTTAGCCAGCTACATTCGTTCGCAGCGACGCCGTTTTTCAAACTAAGTTAACACAGCAGCCATTGCTAGCTAGCCAACACTACCAGCTAGCTGTACTGTAGCAGCTAAATACAATATCTTTGTGCTAGCTAGCCAACGTTTAATTATTGCTGCGTTATGAAAGGAACTAGACACGGACACGAATTATCTGTTTAGTGTGTTAACACACTATTGGTAGTTTGTTGTAACCAAGTATTGGTGCTAAACTGTGTGTTATTGGATGCTAGCATGCTAGTTAGCTATGGCGTCATAGTTAGCTAGCTGAATAAAGTAAGTTGAGTCTATTCCTTGAAACATTGAACCGCTGTAGTTTACAACAATTCTAATTTCTAAAGTGGAAGTTGGGAGAGTTTTATTCGGGTGGTTCAGTGAAACAATTATAGTTTCTGAGGTGGAAGTTGGGAGAGTTATATTTGGGAGTTTTTTGGTGAGGGAGGCCCTGCTCTCTCCTTTCCCAGATGTTTAGTTCATTTCATTCCGATCTCCTCTGCATTATTGTAGCCATCTGCTACAGCCTGTCAACTATGCCTCTGCCTATCCCTGTTCTCTCCTCTCCGCACAGGCTACACAAACGCCTCACACCGCGTGGCTGCTGCCTCTCTAACCTGGTGGTCCCTGCACGCACCACACACCTGGAGTTCCAGGTCTCAGGCAGCCTCTGGAACTGCCGTTCTGCTGCCAACAAGGCTGACTTCATCCCAGCCTATGCTACCCTCCAGTCCCTCGACTTCCTGGCGCTGACGGAAACATGGATTACCACTGAAAACACTGCTACTCCTACTGCTCTCTCCTCGTCTGACCATGTGTTCTCGCATACCCCGAGAGCATCTGGTCAGAGAGGTGGTGGCACAGGAATCCTCATCTCTCCCAAGTGGTCATTCTCAATTTTTCCCCTAACCCATCTGTCTATCTCCTCATTTGAATTCCATGCTGTCACAGTCACTAGCCCATTTAAGCTTAATATCCTTGTCATCTATCGCCCTCCAGGTTCCCTTGGAGAGTTCATCAATGAGCTTGACGCCTTGATAAGTTCCTTTCCTGAGGATGGCTCACCCCTCACAGTTTTGGGGGATTTCAACCTCCCTACGTCTACATTTGACTCATTTCTCTCTGCCTCCTTCTTTCCACTCCTCTCCTCTTTTGACCTCACCCTCTCACCGTCCCCCCCTACTCACAAGGCAGGCAATACGCTTGACCTCATCTTTACTAGATGCTGCTCTTCTACTAATCTCACTGCAACTCCCCTCCATGTCTCCGACCACTACTTTGTATCCTTTTCTCTCTCGCTCTCCTCCAACACTACTCACTCTGCCCCTACACAGATGGTAATGCGCCGCCGCAACCTTCGCTCTCTCTCTCCCACTACTCTCTCCTCTTCCATCCTATCATCTCTTCCCTCTGCTCAATCCTTCTCCCTCCAATCTCCTGATTCTGCCTCCTCAACCCTCCTCTCCTCCCTTTCTGCATCCTTTGACTCCCTGTGTCCCCTATCCTCCCGGCCGGCTCGGTCCTCCCCTCCAGCTCCGTGGCTTGATGACTCATTGCGAGCTCACAGAACAGAGCTCCGGGCAGCTGAGCGGAAATGGAAGAAAACTAAACTCCCTGCCGACCTGGCATCTTTTCACTCCCTCCTCTCTACATTTTCTTCATCTGTGTCTGCTGCTAAGGCCACTTTCTACCACTCTAAATTCCAAGCATCTGCCTCTAACCCTAGGAAGCTCTTTGCCACATTCTCCTCACTGCTGAATCCTCCCCCCCACCCCCCCCCCCCCCCCCCTCCTCCCTCTCTGTGGATGACTTTGTCAACCACTTTGAAAAGAAGGTTGACGACATCCGATCATCGTTTGTTAAGTCTAATGACACTGCTGGTCCTGCTCACACTGCCCTACCCTATGCTTTGACTTCTTTCTCCCCTCTCTCTCCAGATAAAATATTGCGACTTGTGACTGCAGGCCGCCCAACAACCTGCCCGCTTGACCCCATCCCCTCCTCTCTTCTCCAGACCATCTCCGGTGACCTTCTCCCCTACCTCACCTCGCTGATCAACTCATCCTTGACCGCTGGCTATGTCCCTTCCGTCTTCAAGAGAGCGAGAGTTGCACCCCTTCTCAAAAAACCAACACTCGATCCCACTGATGTCAACAACTACAGACCAGTATCCCTTCTTTCTTTTCTTTCCAAAACTATTGAGCGTGCCGTCTTTAGCCAACTCTCTTGCTATCTCTCTCAGAATGACCTTCTTGATCCAAACCAGTCAGGTTTCAGGACTGGTCATTCAACTGAGACTGCTCTTCTCTGTGTCACGGAGGCTCTCCGCACTGCTAAAGCTAACTCTCTCTCCTCTGCTCTTGTCCTTCTAGACCTGTCTGCTGCCTTTGATACTGTGAACCATCAGATCCTCCTCTCCACCCTCTCCGGCGCGGCTCACTCCTGGATTGCGTCCTACCTGACCGGTCGCTCCTACCAAGTGGCGTGGCGAGAAGCTGTCTCCGCACCACGTGCTCTCACCACTGGTGTCCCCCAGGGCTCAGTTCTAGGCCCTCTCCTATTCTCCCTATACACCAAGTCACTTGGCTCTGTCATATCCTCACATGGCCTCTCCTATCATTGCTACGCTGACGATACACAACTAATCTTCTCCTTTCCCCCTTCTGATAACCAGGTGGCGAATCGCATCTCTGCATGTCTGGCAGACATATCAGTATGGATGACGGATCACCACCTCAAGCTGAACCCTGGCAAGACGGAGCTGCTCTTCCTCCCGGGGAAGGACTGCCCGTTCCATGATCTCGCCATCACGGTTGACAACTCCGTTGTGTCCTCCTCCCAGAGTGCGAAGAGCCTTGGCGTGACCCTGGACAACACCCTGTCGTTCTCCGCTAACATCAAGGCGGTGACCCGATCCTGCAGGTTCATGCTCTACAACATTCGGAGAGTACGACCCTGCCTTACACAGGAAGCGGCACACGTCCTAATCCAGGCACTTGTCATCTCCCATCTGGATTACTGCAACTCGCTGTTGGCTGGGCTCCCTGCCTGTGCCATTAAACCCCTACAACTCATCCAGAATGCCGCAGCCCGTCTGGTGTTCAACCTTCCCAAGTTCTCTCACGTCACCCCGCTCCTCCGCACACTCCACTGGCTTCCAGTTGAAGCTCGCATCTGTTACAAGACCATGGTGCTTGCCTATGGAGCTGTGAGGGGAACGGCACCTCCGTACCTTCAGGCTCTGATCAGTCCCTACACCCAAACGAGGGCATTGCGTTCATCCACCTCTGGCCTGCTGGCTCCCCTTCCTCTGCGGAAGCATAGTTCCCGCTCAGCCCAGTCAAAACTGTTCGCTGCTCTGGCACCCCAATGGTGGAACAAGCTCCCTCATGACGCCAGGACAGCGGAGTCACTCACCACCTTCCGGAGACATTTGAAACCCCACCTCTTTAAGGAATACCTGGGATAGGATAAAGTAATCCTTCTACCCCCCCCCCCCCCAAAAAAAATAAATAAATAAATAAAATAAAATAAAATAACAATTGTAAAGTGGTTATCCCACTGGCTATAGGGTGAATGCACCAATTTGTAAGTCGCTCTGGATAAGAGCGTCTGCTAAATGACGTAAATGTAAATGTAAATGTCTGTATAAAAGACACCTGGGAGCCAGAAATCTTTCTGATTGCGAGGGGGTCAAATACTTATTTCCCTCATTAAAATGTAAATCAATTGATAACATTTTTGACATGCGTTTTTCTGGATGTTTTTGTTGTTATTCTGTCTCTCACTGTTCAAATAAACCTACCATTAAAATTATAGACTGATCATTTCTTTGTCATTGGGCAAACGTACAAAATCAGCAGGGGATCAAATACTTTTTTCCCTCACTGTATGTAATAGTCAGACCTACCAGTCAAAATCATTGTAGTCATTCTGAGCTTCACTCCAGAAGTAGAGGAAGACCAGCGTGAGACAGAACGTCACGATGAGGAGCGCAAAGCTGGCACACTCCAACTGCAGGGGAGAGAAACACAATAAGTCCCACATAGTGACTACATAACAAATTCATAACCCATATACTGTAGGCATGGAAATGTACACTAACAAGTAATTACCAGTGATGAGGATTGAACCCACAACATCTTGGTGGCAAGGCAGGGATTCACGGCCAGAACCACTACTTTCGCCAAACCATTTTCACTTCTATTTGTGTTTGCCCCCGACATATGAGGTAAATAACTCAAGCCTGGGCTAACATTACTCAATGGACTGTCACACAGCAAGTTGTTGTTTTGCAGCATTAAAAGGAAAACTTCACCCAGAAACTATCTTTTGGTATTTGTTTCATTAGCCCATTTTTTATTTTTTTTTCTCTCATTAGCCCATTGTTGCTATAGTCCCAAAATGTTTTCCATGTCAGCAATCAAGTTTTCAAGATATATAACTTTCAAAATATAGAAATACAGGCGGTATGACGCATTTTTCATCATATGATGTTGCGTTTTGCATCATATGATGCAAAATGCGTCATACCGGCTGTATTTCTGTATATATACCAAAAGATAGTTTTGGGGTGGAATTTTCCTTTAAATGCTCTTACAAAACATAAGAGAGTGCTATTCTTTGACAGGGCTGGGAAATTCGAAACGTGTGAATGTTTGTGTTTATTGCCTAGAATGCTTTCCATACAATTGAGGGAGTGCACTTTGAACTCTGAGGAGAGGGAGGAATGCAGGAAAAGCTCCTTACTGGCTAAACAGTGATTGTAAAACTGTGACAGTAAAAATGATGTAAGCCATGAAAGAAAGAGATATTGACAGAGTGAGGGAGAGAAAGAGAACGTGTGTGTGGGCACGCATGCATGTGTGCGTGTGAGAGAGAGAGTACAGTGTAGTAGTAGTAGTAGTAGTGTGTGTGTGTGTATAGTCTCTGTCAGGAGTGTAAAACAATCCTGTGAAATGACCAGATTTTCAACAAACAAAAACAACTTTTCACATCAAATGATCTCACTTTGGGAACTCAATCCCCCCAGTCCCTGTTTGACCCCTGACCTCCCTGACCTTGCTGCAGCAGCAGTCTCCTGGCGTGGCGCGGGTCCTCTGGTAGCGTCTCCATTGACAGCCATAGAGGCCGGCCAGGCACGAGACAAAGGGCTGGTGCTCGTAGCGCTGCAGCAGCCGACAGCGCACCACAGGTAGCTTCCCCAGGGTGGTCGGAGAGGCGGCCATGGCTCACACACACAGCGCCATCACCGATCACACGAGAGCGAGAGAGAGAGAGAGAGAGAGAGAGAGAGAGAGAGAGAGAATGTGGAAGAAGTGGATGATGAGAGGAGCTGGGAATGGAAAGAGTAAAGGGAGAAATAGTGTTAATATTGTAGCGACCTAAACCCAACCCTACCTAGCGATCTTATCAAGGGGTTTCAGATTTCACAAGGTCCCGTGTTCAAGCCCGCTCGGGGCTATAGCCTACTTCATCACAAAGGTAGAGATGGTGGAGAAGGACAATGAATAAAAGGAAGTCAAGTCTAACCTTAACCCTGGCTCCCAAACATTTAACAACTACTGTAGGCCTAGATTATGAATCAATCAAACCATACTAGGTAGGTGATTACAGGCTAGGTGAAGGACAAGTCCCATTCTGACACACATCGTAATTTTCACAATGCTTCAGTTTGGGATGGTGACAGTCTCTCAATTTGGGGGCGGGTGGATGGGGACTGAGGGGGGAATAGATTGGGGTTAATTTTTTATGCATTTCTTTGATTGTTTTTGTACCTGTAACCCCCCTCTGTAAATTGACAAAATTAAATAAAAAGTTGTTCACAAAAAAAGAAACATAGTATTTATTTTTCCTTTTTTTCTTGATATATATTATGTTGTTGATTACTAGGCTACATAACGTGATCGTTTTCTGACAACCAATGGCATTATGCAAACATGCACTATGCTGAAAATTACAGTCATGTTTCTCTGCTCTTGGAAAAAATGTTTGCATATTAATTGTAGCCCATAGGCTGCAGCAGTTAACGCCTTAATGTAGCTTGTATAACCTATGTAGGACTATTGTAGCTGCCATATGGCGTGGATATTTGCTCCGGGAACAACAGTTTTTACCTGATACAATAGGTTAGCCTACGTGGACGGCTGATCAAGTCCCAGTGAAAAGCACCTATGATACAGAGTCGTCGTGCAGGAAATCGGAAATCCCTTAACCTATTTACGAATGGGACACATTGTCTGTTCGGGGAACTAGTCAGAGATAACAGCGTTTATCCTATACGATTGAAGTTATTCATATGCTATGAATGTGTGTGGTCCTCTGTAGCTCAATTGGTAGAGCATGGCGCTTGTAACGCCAGGGTAGTGGGTTCGATCCCCGGGACCACCCATACGTAAAAATGTATGCACGCATGACTGTAAGTCGCTTTGGATAAAAGCGTCTGCTAAATGGCATATTATTAATGTCTATATGTTATATTCAATGGTCATAAATGGCACACATGCAGGTTATTCCCTATCTAAATCCTTTATCGGATACTTTACTCCTTTAAATAGCCTACCTCAAAAAATAGTTCCGTTTGATTCCCCGAACTTCCGTAGTCCTTGATGGTCACTCCAGGGGAAGCCGCAGTGCTTATAGTCCCTCTTCTCGGTAATGCACGCGCACGCCGGCCAGGTAAAGGATACCCTGCTATGTCTAATTGTCATTGACTGCCACCTGTTGCCAATGGAGATATGCTTTCGTGTACAGTATTGCTATTTCTTTCTTCCGGACCTTCCCCCCTCTACTACACTGTCCTTTGATGTTGACGATGCTGGATACAATGTTACAATTTCCCAACTCTGTAGGCTACTCTTATCACATGACAGTGTGTGGAGTAGGCTATAGACTATTTTAGTTACGGAATAATTGTAATGCGAGTCTCAATATCAGTTGACTATATTTCGTATGAAAAAACGTGTGTTATGCAGGGTGGAAAGCCCTAGGACAAATATGTGCTGTTCATTTGAGTGAGTGCCTGCGAGCGTGTATTTGGGAGGCGGGGGTTAGGGAATGAAATTGTAATGGAATTTTTCAGTCTTACGTAACGTAAGTGCTACAGCTGCAAAGTTACAGCTTTACCAAAGATTTGTATAACTAACCCAAGAGAGACCACAGCCTGTCGTTTCCAATGGGTGCAAATTAATCATAGTGGGCAGAATAAGCAAGGAGGTGGGCAGACCCAAGCACGACCTAGCGAGATCCTATGGGCGCATTCTATCATATATTTGCATATTACCGTTAGGGAACGCCTAATTTGAATTGCGTGTGTGCAATTACGCATCTCCTAGCAGGCAGACCTGCTAACCACTGCTCAAACAACTGGTTAACCCTTTTGGGGGGGATTGTAACAGGCCTACTAAGGCAAGGTTCGTTACACTATCCCCTCTGTTAGGGAGAGCGTGTCCCCATGCTTCTCAATACCAAGTACCTCACGCTTTACTATACCAAGTCCCTCACGTGTGCAGGCCTCTCCGATGGCCCCCAAGTCAGCATCCCACCGCTGCCACCAATGTAGCAATTTTTGCTAACGGCAACAGTGTAACCCCATTTGCGGGTCTCGAACCCAGTAATTAGTTCTATAGGCTTGCTGCTTTGAATTTCTATTTTATTGACAGGACACCTCTTGAACAAAAAGTCCTGCATATTCTCATGAATATACATGTCAGGTACATATTGTAAATCAAATGTGTAAGACTCTAACCATGAAAAAAGGGGTAGAACAAAGGACATATTTTATGTTAGACAGCGCCATAGGAGTCTACTGCCATCTCAGGGAAAGCCCTGTTGGAAATCTGTCTGTTCTCTGCTGGTGTTTGAAGTATATGAGGTGCATTTTAAGTTGTTTGAAGCTGTAACACCAGCAGGTACCTGTTCCTTGTACAGCTTTCCCTCCCTCAATCCTGACCTTAACCATTAGTGGGGAAAATGCTAAACTGACCCAAGATCAGCGTCTAGGGTCAACTTAACCCTACTCTGTTTGATCCACAACAGCAAACTACACCCACACCTGGATGCAGAGAATCAGTAGAATTAAGAATGGTATATCTGATAGAAGTTCCATAATACAAGTCATAACCAACCTACAAATCACAGCAACTCCAAAGTGTGATATAATACAGGTTATACAACTGGTGGGTCTAATCCTGGACACTGATTGGTTAAAATCGCATTCCAGCCGGTGTCTATTCCACAAGTTACCACCGGCTAAAGCTATGATGTTGAAATGCCTATTTACTCTGTTCCATCTCACTGCGCAATCTACTGTCTCATCAGCCCAGCAAGACAATTTACAAACTTGTTCTCCACTGTAAAAAGCATCTAGACATTATCTCCCATTTCTTTTAGACTAGCAATTGGTTTTCAATAGCAGAGATTTGTATAAGCCTTGCTGTCTGTCTCACTGACATTTGCAACATTGTTTCAATATTGAAATTCGATCTCCAGCTGTCCCATGGTAATGAACGCGTTCTCAGCCAGTCGAAATCATGAATCCGCATAAATTTTATGGATGTATACAAGGAAATGTAAATAGAAAACAGATCAAACAAAACGAAATGCAGCTAGTTTGCAGTCTTTCCAGCTTCAGTTTGAAGTGATTGTGTTAGCTGTGTTGTTGGCTAGCTCCTCTGAACAACATTGTCCTGACGAGAGAGACATTTTTTTATGCCAAGTGAAATCGCGCATCATTAACTCATTGTTATGGATGTATCCAAATACATTTCATTAGAAAACAGCTTAAACAAATGAAAATGCAGCTACTTTGCTGTTATTCTTGCTGCACTGTTTGACATGACTGTATGTTAGCCGTAGTTGGCTAGCTAGCAAGCAAGGGATAAGAACGTTGCCAGCCAGTATGGCAATAGAACATTTAGAAGGAACGACTGGGTTGCGTCCATAGATACAGAACAAAAATACTTAACGACTGGGTGGCGTCTCTGGCAACCGAACCGATAGAACGAACGATCAGCCGGCTTGGGTAGTAACCCTAGATTTGTGTTGGGACTATATCTCGTGGAAGGATGAAATAGTATGAATAAATTCATCAAAATAACGTCTTTAATGAAAATACGTAAATCATTATTTGAATATGTTGGTAACCCGTTGTATACAGTGGGGAAAAGTATTTAGTCAGCCACCAATTGTGCAAGTTCTCCCACTTAAAAAGATGAGAGAGGCCTGTAATTTTCATCATAGGTACACGTCAACTATGACAGACAAAATGAGAAAAAAAAATCCAGAAAATCACATTGTAGGATTTTTAATGAATTTATTTGCAGATTATGGTGGAAAATAAGTATTTGGTCAATAACAAAAGTTTCTCAATACTTTGTTATATACCCTTTGTGTCACGCCCTGGCTCTGGGGACTCTTAATTGTTGAGCCAGTGTGTGGATTTTCTATGTTTAGTTTTCATTGGTTTTTGTTCTAGATCGTTTAGTTTCTATGTTGGCCAGGGTGGTTCCCAATCAGAGACAGCTGTAGCTCGTTGTCTCTGATTGGGGACCATACTTAGGCAGCCTTTTGGCATGTTAGGTTGTGGGATCTTGTTCCGTTAAGGTTTTGTGTTAACCCAGGACTTCACGTTTCGTTTGTTGTTTTGTTCGTGTTGAGTAAGTGTGTGTAGAGGTACTCCAGGTCTGGTGTGGGTTATGTTACCTCAGTCTTAGTGTGTCTAGTGTGGGTTATGTTACCTCAGTCTTAGTGTGTCTAATGTTACCTCAGTCTTAGTGTGTCTAGTGTGGGTTATGTTACCTCAGTCTTAGTGTGTCTAATGTTACCTCAGTCTTAGTGTGTCTAGTGTGGGTTATGTTACCTCAGTCTTAGTGTGTCTAGTGTGGGTTATGTTACCTTAGTGTGTCTAGCTGGTGATGATGGCGGCGAGGTGAGTAGTCATGCTGTACTTCGCTCCGCAGGTAATATGACACATTACATTACAATGGAACGATTTGATTAGTGTAATGTTGGCTAGCTACATATTTGTATCAAAGATAAAGGTGTAGTATAGAGTAACTATCGTGGTTAGCTAGCCAGCTACATTCGTTCGCAGCGACGCCGTTTTTCAAACAAAGTCAACACCGCAGCCATTGCTAGCTAGCTAGCCAACACTACCAGCTACCAGCTGGCAGTACTGTAGCAACTAAATACAATATCCTTTTAGCCAGCTACATTTGTTCGCAGCGAC